GAGAGAGAGAGAGAGAGAGAGAGAGAGGTGGAGGTGGAGATGGATATAGCCATGAAGTCACCAGATTGGTTTACCTGGCCTCCCCTTCAAACATGTCCATGCAAACAATTCTGGGAGTTGAAGTCCACAAGTCTTCAGGTTGCCAAGGCCAAAAGCGGTATATAAGTCTAAGTGCTATTGCTATAAGTGGAAGAGAACTTGTATATGCAAGCTCCCACAGAGGGAGCAATGAACCCATCTCAAAGGGGTTTCTTAATTAGACAACAATCACTTTCCTTCTCTTCTCCTCACCCTTAAGCACAGAAAACTGGTTTCAGTGCTAACTCTCTCCCCGCCCTCCAACCCATCTTTAATTACTAGGCAAACACAATTATTCCAAGCTGCACAGTGAGCTGGCCTAGCTTCCATTTTTAAAAGAGGATTTCCTGCAACCAGGGTGTTCACAATGTATAGATTGTCTAAAGCATGGAAATTCAGGATCAGTCCCTGGAACCAGTGCAAGAACCTGCCAGTCAGAAATCAGCTTGTCTACATGACCGATCTACCTACTGGCTGGATGAAGCTACGCTGTACAGCCGTAACACGAAAAGTTTCCACACTGAGTGTCAGTTTTGGATGCTGACATTGTCCTACTTAGGAGTTCCCCCAAATGCATTTGGTCAGCTATTTTGGAATAGAAAATTGGCCTAGACTGGTATTATCTATCAGGGTTTTTCTTAACCCTGTTCAAGAATGTCTGTCTGTCTGTCTGTCTGTCTATCTATCTATCTATCTATCTATCTATCTATCTATCTATCGCTATCCATCCACCCACCCACCCTATTTATCCATCTCTCTCTCTTTCTCTAATCTATCATCAATCAATCTATATCATCTATTTCTATTATGTCTCTATCTGTCTATTTATCCATGTCTGTGTATCTATCATTTATGTCTCTTACCTATCATATCTATCTGCTCTATCTATCTATCTATCTATCTATCTATCTATCTATCTATCTATCGATCGATCTATCTATCGATCTATCTATCGATCTATCTATCTATCTCTAGCTATCCATCCACCCACCCTATCTATCCATCTCTCTCTCTCTCTCTCTCTTTCTCTAATCTATCATCAATCAATCAATCAATCTATATTATCTATTTCTATTATGTCTCTATCATCTGTCTATTTATCTATGTCTGTGTATCTATCATTTATGTCTCTTATCTATCAAATCAATCTGCTCTATCTGCTCTATCTATCTATCTATCTATCTATCTATCTATCTATCTATCTTCTATCATCTATTCTCTATCATTATGTCTTTATTTATCCATCATCTTTGATCTCTGTATCTCTGTATACGTCCATCCATCCATCCATCCATCCATCCATCCATCCATCTGACATAATGCAGCCTTACACACTGTTGGGCCAGGCCACTGGTCTCTCTTCATGTGCAGTACCGCTTCAGCTGCCTTTAGCTTGGCAACCGTTGTGGGAATCAGGCACCATTAATAGATTTGCCGATAAACAAAACATAACCCCAAAAGAGTGGGCTCAGAAAAACTTTAATTAGAGAGAAACGAGGGCGGGGGTGGGGAGAGAGAGAGAGAGAGAAAGAGACTGCATTGAATCAGAGCAAAAAGCGAACTGGCTGCAGAAACAATCAGGAAAAAAAGCACACCCAAACACAGGGCAGAGGTACAAAACGTGTGTGAGAGAGAGAGAGAGGGAGGGAGGGAGGGAGGAGGAGGAGGAGGAAGAAGAAGAAGAAGAAGAAGAAGAAGAAGAAGAAGAAGAAGAAGAAGGAGGAGGAGGAGGAGGAGGAGGAGTGGGGGGGAGAAGACAGGGTGGGTGTGGGGTGGGACGAGGGTGAACCGCAGCAGTCAGCTAAACTTGGGCGATCCGGGCTGATCTCCGGCGCTGCCTCTTTAAATCGCAGGCGAAAGCGCCGGTGCCGAGCTCCAACGAGGAACTCCGCGAGCTTCAAGTGGCTGCGGGCAGACCCAATAAGAGCTTTCAGCACCTCCCCTTGGAAACATAGAAAGAAAGTCTGATTACAAACCTTTGGCTCCGTCGGAGAGGAAGAGAGAGAGGGGGGGGAAAAAATTGGCACATGACAGCCCTGTATATAAAGCCTTAACAAGCCCAGCGCCTTTTGGAGAATCCAGGTGCTGGGCGCGGGGGGGGGGAGAGATACCCGGAGGAGGAGGAGGAGGAGGAGGAGGCGGTGGGGGAGAAGGAGAAGGAGAAGGAAGAAGAGAAGGAGGAGAAGAAGAAGGAGAAGAAGATGCTTCTTTAAAAGCCGGCCAAGGAACCGGAGGGCGGAACGGGCGCCAGAGCTACCCGGGGACTCTGCCTTCCGCCGGGCGGATGCGCCAGTGACCTCGTCGCCCAGGCGAGCCAGCTCCCCCTCCGGGCCCAGGCGAGCCATGCCGCCTCTCTTGCGGGGGTCCTTCTGGCTGTGCCTGGCCCTGCTGCCCGGCCTGGGCGCGCCGATGCCGACGGAGATCGTGACTCCCATCCGCCTGGATCCGGATCTCAACGGGCGGCAGTACTTCCAGCGGGCTGGCGAGGAGCCCCCTCAGCAAGGGGCCATCTTCCAGATCACCGCCTTCCAGGAGGATTTCTACTTGAACCTGAGCCCCGACGCCCAGTTCCTGGCGCCCGCCTTCGCCACCCGCTACCTGGGCGCTCCGCGGAGGGCTGGGCACCGGGACTTGCGCCGCTGCTTCTACTCCGGCGACGTCAACTCGGATCGGGACTCGTTCGCCGCCCTGAGCCTCTGCGGAGGGCTGACCGGCGCCTTCGGCTACCGCGGGGCCGAGTATCTCATCAGCCCGGTCCGGAACGCCAGCAGCACCGAGGGCGGCGGCGGCGGCGGCGGCGAGGCGCTGCGCAACAACCAAGGGGCGCACCTGTTGCAGCGGCGGAGCGCGCCTCGCCACTCCGCGGCCACTTCTCGCTGCGGGGTGGATTCCGCCTCTCACCCGGCTTTGGTGCAAGCCCTGGAGAAGTACAAGGGCTCCGGGTCCAGCGGGGCCAAGCCGCCGGGCCAGAACGAGACGGCCCGGGGGACGATGCCCGCGGCGTCCAGGAAAAGCGGCCGCGCCAAGCGCTTCGTCTCCATCCCCAGGTACGTGGAGACGCTGGTGGTGGCCGACGAGTCCATGGTCAAGTTCCACGGCGATGACCTCCAACACTACCTGCTGACCCTGATGGCCACGGCCGCCCGGCTCTACCGACACCCCAGCATCCAGAACCCCATCAACCTGGCCGTGGTCCAGTTCATGGTCATCGGGCAGGACGACAAGGGGCCCAAGGTGACCAGCAACGCGGCGCTGACCTTGCGCAACTTCTGCGTCTGGCAGAAGAAGTGGAACAAGGGCAGCGACAAGCACCCCGAGTACTGGGACACCGCCATCCTCTTCACCAAACAGGTGTGTGTGTGTGTGTGTGTGTGTGTGTGTGTGTGAGAGAGAGAGAGAGAGAGAGAGAGAGAGGGTGGGGACTCCAGCGGGCCGGAGGGATGGGACGGCCGGAGGAAAGACGGGGAAGGCGGCTCTGCTCCCTGTGCTCTTGGAGCGGGGCTCCCGCTTCCTCGCAAGGGTAGGCGCCCATCTCTCCCTCCCTTCCCCTCTGGGTGCTTCTGCCTGTCCCCTCCCGCGAGGGCTGCGTGCCTTTGCAAGCGGGAGGGGAAGGAACATGGGACGGGAGGAGGAGATCCTTTCACCCGTCGCCGCTTCCAGAAGCCCCGAGCTCTCCCGTGTTGGAGCGACCGTCTTCGCAGCGGGACCAGGAATGGAGGAGGAGGAGGAGGAGGAGGAGGAGGAGCAGTAAGAATCCAGATGTGGTGCAAATGGTGCAAACTTCTGCAGGGATGGTGGGTGACGGGAATCCTCCTTGTTCTGGGTTTCTTTCCGGGCCTTTTTCTTAGGCAGCAAACTGGATCTCCCACGCATCTCCCTGGAGCAAAGCACAGCATGTCTGTCTGTGGAAATTCTCAGTCATCCAGGTCGTGGTTGTCCCAAAGGGGCTTTTTTCAAGAGGCAACTGGAGTTTCTGTTTTTTCTTTGAAGATGTTTTGCTTCTCATCCTAGAAGCTTCTTCAGCTCTCTCTTCTCATCCTGGAAGCTTTTTCAGCCCCGAAGAAGCTTCTTGGATGAGAAGCGAAACATCTTCAAGTCCAGTTGCCTCTTAGAAAAAGCGTCTTTGGGATAAGGCACAGTATGTATCAGCTTCCAAATAAGCGGTGAGTGAGTGGTCTGAGGGTGGGAAGAGGCTGGTTCTACATGATGCTGAAGACCCTCTTCAAAATGCGCCCATTGAGAGCCTCACCTGCTATTGTGACAGGGTAAAGCTTGCCTGCTTGATAGGGGAGTGTTGATACAAATTGCTTGTATGGACACATTTGTAAGGAGAGGCCAGGTAAAAGTCAGCCTGGTTGACTTCATGGATGTATCCATTTCTCATTTCCTTGTTAGCAGCATGGAAGTGGTTTGGGCCTTTGCTTTCTTCTCGGGTATTGACTTCCCAGTTGAATCTACCTTTCTGGGCTTTCCTTGTGGTCTCCCATCCCGCAGCTCAATGGATCTGGCTGGAATGCCTGCCAGGCAAGGCCAGCTTAGTGCTGTCACTTAGAGGGATGAGCTGTACGGGCCAATGGCGCTCAGAACAAGTTGTCCAACCTTGATAACTTAAGACGGTGGATTTCAATCCCCAGAATTCTGGGAGTTGAAGTCCACAAGGTCTTAAAGTTGCTAAGGTTAGACAGCCTTGCTCTAGAACATCTTGCATTGTTGGGAGAAGGCAACAAGTGACTTATGGAGATTCTCAATTCTCCAGGTCATGATTGTCCCAAAGGTGCTTTTTCAAGGAGCAACTGGGCTTTTTCTTTGAAGATGTTTCACTTCTCATCCAAGAAGCTTCTTCAGCTCTGAAGAACCTTCGTGGATGAGAAGCAAAATGTCTTCTAAGAAAAAACAGAAAGTCCAGTTGCCTCTTGAAAAAAGCATCTTTGGGATGGTTAGTTTCTGGAAGGATCATTTCAGGACTCAGGGGGGGGGAGGGGAATCTTTGACAGCTCACCTTCTGCAAAACTTACATTTGTGATTCTCTGCAGCCATTGGCTGTCAATCTGACACACCTGAAATTCCTTTTGAACCTAGTCTTGGGGTGGAACATTTGTGGCACCATTTATAGTGAGACCAATAAATGGGCCCTAGGAGAAAGACAGAATTGAAGAGGCTGCCTTGTTGACCAAGAGCTACAAGAATTGCTGAGAGGATGTTGGAGTCTTCTCTTCTTTCCTCCCGCTGCTAGATTTCCAGTCTAGTACCTCCATGGATAAACTAGAGATATCTACCCTCTCCTGGTCTGGACAGCTCCATCTGTAAATGCAGTAGAAGGTTTCTATTGTCTTTCACTT